ATAAATCCGTTAGATGAAAATAATACTAACTACGGATTAGTTAAAAGATTTAACATCAGCAAAGGAAGTAGAATAATAGATTTAATGGGACGTCTTCATATCGATTTAGCGAACCAGCCTAAGCTTCTAACGAACAATGTAGACCTAAGAATTAAATTGGAGAGATCTAAAGAAAATTTTGCGCTAATGGCGGATAACGACGACTATAAAATTATTATTAAAAACGCCTCGCTAAAAATTAATAAAGTAGACGTTAGTTCGTCAATACAGATAGGAATTGAAAAAGCGCTCCAAACCGGTATAATTAAATTACCGTTCCGTAGGACAGATGTTAAAGTCTTTACATTAACTAGCGGGATTCAGACTACAAGTATATCAAACGTTGTTATCGGTCAACTACCTTATAGAATAACTCTCGAATTAGTTTCTAATTCTGCATTTAATGGAAATGTGAAGCGTAATCCTTTTAATTTTAAAAATTATGATTTAAATTATATATGTTTATCAAAAGACAATCAAATGATTCCTTCTAAACCCTATACTCCGGATTATACCAATAAAATTTATGCAAGAAATTTTATCTCGTTATTTGAAGATACCGGATGTATTCATCATCATAAATCTATAAATATATCGTACGACAAGTACCGAGACGGTTATACTTTATATTGTTTCGATCTTACCCCCGATAAATCAGGCTCTGAGAATCACGTTAGTGTTAACGAGCTGGGAAACATTTCTGTGGAATTAAAGTTTTTGAAGGTGATACCGGAAACCATAAACGTTATTTGTTTGTTAGAATATAATAATACCTTAGAAATCGATTATTCACGAACCGTATTCGTCGATTATTAATGAATATCCTTACGTTGTGGAGATTAGCAGCGAGCGATCCGAAAATAAAAAGAAATTTTGGAGGAGTTTTTGCATCTGACAATCTTCCATTTTGAGTTGGTAATAAACAATCTTTTATAATTAATTTAGATGAAAAAAATAAGCCTGGAAGTCATTGGGTATCGGTATTTTTTACGAAAGATAAAAATTCTTGCATTTATTATGATAGTTATGGATTAAAACCGAGGAAAGCGAGTATCATCAGATTTATAAAACGAAATTCAAAAAAATATTGTTGGAATAATATTATTCATCAAAGTTTGTTTTCCTTAAACTGTGGTTATTTCTGCTTATATTTTTTATATAAAATTAATAGAAATCTATGTTTATCAGAACTGCATGTAACAGATAAATTTTATAACGATGAATTTGTTAAAAATTTTGTTAAAAATAATTTTCATTTATCAAAACCGATTGTAATAACCAATAACCAGTGTTGTAATTCAATAAAATAAAATCTATTTAAAATATGAAAATTGTGTTTTTTATTCACAAAACTTACTATTCATTTTTCTGCTATCCGAACCTCTGGCAGTATTTATACTGATACAGGATTTTCCTTAATAAACAAGTTATGCATTCACCCTGACCCACAAAAATAGGTAACCGGATTTTTCCAATTCGACTTGACAGGACATGTTACAGATTTTCCTATTCGACTTGACAGGACATGTTACGGGATTAGGTTAATCTATCAT